TCCTCCAAATGTCCTTCCTTAGGCCCCACTCCTCCACACACACCACATCTGGCATTCACCCCCATATCTTGTGTTTGTACAACCTTAGGCCAATCATTTTCAGTCATAGAGTGCAGACACTCGGTATATATTAAGTGGGGACATATAGTGTCTCTCCTTCACAGCCTGGCTTGCTTCACTCAGCAGTAAATCTTCCATATTCTTCCACTTTCTGTCAAAAGCCAGGGTTTTGTTGTTTTTTATGGCTGAATAGTATTCCATAGAGTATATGTGCCACAGTTTTTCAATCCATTCATGCATCCAGAGGCATTTGGGTTGGTTCCATGTCTTAGCAATCATGAATAGTGCTGCAGTAAACATAGATGTGCAAGCACCTTTCCAATGATGAATTCTTCTGTCCTTTTGGTAGATACCTAGGAGTGGGATTGCTGGATCATATGGTAGTTCTATTTGTATATTTTTGAGAAATCTCCAAATTAGAGTTTAGCTCCTTCTGCTGCTCTCTTGGGCACTCTCTTGCCCTTCTGCCTCCCACCCCCTGAATCCCAGACCCTCCGCCATGGGATGATGCAGCAAGGAGGCCTTCCCAGATGTGGTCCCTAATAAAGCAATTACTAAAGCTTTAAATTTTTTATTAATAGTTCATATTACATATAGTAAGCCTTTTAAAAATTAATAATTGCTGCTTATACACACAATGATCCATAATGCCTGTTTTTCTATAATTTATTATACATTAAAATTGGAGGTAGGATGAAAAAAGGAGGCTCTAAATTCTTTAGACCAAGTTGAATATAGGCTATCTTGTTTTGCAAATAAATTAGTAGCAGTAAGCAAACCTCAAAGACTGATTTCAAATAATAAAAAAAATGATAGAACTTGAGTTATTTATGCATAATCTGGCATGGAAATTATCTATATAGAAATGCATCAAATCATAGAAAGCCTTATTTTGCTTTTTTAGCTACTCAAAGTGGAAATTATCTTGTTAATTTTTTTTTAACTCAGAAAATTAAAACTGGAAAGTTAAAACTTAGAAAAATGTAAATTTATTTTCTTAAAAATAAGCATTAATGTACTGTGTAACAGTATTAGGAAACTTCAAAAGTTTCTATTTTAAATAGTTACTGTTATTTCATTTTACTCATATCATTTAAATCAGCTTTAAGAGGTGTCCATAAGAGAGCCTGGGCCTCCTCTCCAACTCTAATCTAAAGGTTCTGAGCATTCTCTTCTTAGATACGATGTTTGAGAGCTGACAATTTTTATTCATGTATTTCTTCCATGAGAGAGACATGCAAGAGGAAGAGAGACAGACAGGAAACAGGCAGCCCTGACAGGATCCTCACACTGTGACACAACCCCTACCTCAGCCCACCCACCTTATGAATACCAGCATAAACCTGGTGTGTAAAGGGAGGTCTGGGGACACAGACCGAGAACCTTCCCATGTGAGTCCACTTGTAATATGACTGCACTGCCAAGGTGCCCCAGGAAAGGATCCTTAATGCCTAGTCTTCCCAAGATCACAGTAAAGGTGTCCTCAAAGAATTGGACTCGAAGTCCTACCTTTAGGATACAAACTGTCCCATATAATAGGAAATGGACTTGGGCAGGTAGTGTCTTAGTCTACACTGCAATAACAAAACATCAGAGATAAGGTAATTTACAAAGAAATGAAATGTATTTGGCTTATGTTTCCAGAGGCTTGGAAATCCAAGGTGGAGGAGCCACATCTGGTGAGGGCCTCCTTGATGAGTCTTCCATGGTGGGAGGCAGAAGGCCAAGAGAATACACAAGAGAGTAGCAGAAGGGCTGAACTCATTCTTTCATCAGAAATTACATTAGCCCATTTATGAAGGAGGAGCCTTAAGACCCAATCATCTCTTTTTTTTTTTTTTAATTTTGTTTTAAGTTTTTTTTTTTTTTCCTCAATAAAAAATCATCCACTCACCAGAGAGAGACAAAGAGAGGGAAAGTGAGAAACCATCCCCTAAGGCCACACCACCATCCCTTTTCCTCCACTCTCAGGATTTGGGGCATGCACTCACATGCCCCAGTGTGATTTTCTAACCACCAGGTCTGGTACTGCACCCACAGTCAGACATGTAGGAGTCCAGCACCTTTACCACCACAACACCTACTGGCCCCAACCCAATCCCTCTTAATGTTCCAGATCTCAACACTGCTACATTGGGGATTAAGTTTCCAACACATCAACTTTCAGGGACACATTCAGAACATAGCAGGTACATATTACACCTAATGTTATTTGATGTGAATTAATAGAGAGAAATGTGAAGCAAGTGTGTCCTACACATTTTTTCCTCCAATGAATAGTATGAATGAATAGTACTGAGAAGTCAAAATTTCATGATAGCAACAAATGATCTTACTTTCATTATTCCTTTGACTGTACATTCTGAAAATTGTGAGCTCAGCTAGGACAAATGTGAAACCTTGTATCCTTGTCCTTTTGTGTATACAGTTAAATCAGCTCCCTTTTTATGTGCCTTATTGGTACCATAGACCAGAACATAAATTGAGGACTAGTGAGCCAGGAGATAGATGGAACACAGCACTGTGAATAGACAGAGACAGGCCCAAGATAGAACCATAGTAAGCTTTACCCAAGATGGAGTCACAAAAGTATGTTTTAACAAAGGAAGAGCAGGCTGTATTGGGGCTTGAAACAATTATAACTAAGGGTAACTGTTTCTATTTTCCAATTACTTTCTAAGAAAAAATGTAGATCAATATGGTCTGCTGTTCCCACTAAGAATGGGGTACTAAGTTACCCTTGCTAACTAGTAACTATTTTCTTAAACCCACTTCCTCATCAGAGAGCCAACCATTGCTCTGGCTTACTTCAGCTCCTCTTTGGCAACCCATTTGGGGCCCCTGCCTTGGGGAACTTTCTTCTCCTTCAATAAACTTTGATTTGCTCTCCCCTCCTATTGTTTGCACTTCCAGCTATTCATGATCGCAGGACACAAACCCAGCAACTTCGAACTACTTAATAGTGGTTTCTCAGACGTAGTGTCAAGGCATACTGATATGTTCCAAGTGCTTATGTGTAGCAATAACTAGGACAACTAGTTAAAATATTCATATACAATTGCTTACTGATTGTATTAGGACATATTCACAGTTATTGGGAATATATTTTTCTCCAGTTGAATTCCATATAGCTTCTCCAATGAAAAAGGTAAAAGGCTATCCAACTCCTTATCATTCTGAGGGACTCCATGAGAGCTAACTTCACATATGAACAGTCTTTACTATACATGTAATCATGAAAGAGAATGATTCAGAGCAGCTGCTGTATGAAAGTGCACTCCAAGAAGTTTGGGGGGAAATGGAATCAAAGTATGAGTATATTTTGGTACAAACTCATTTTTAAATCCATGTATAGTATTTTCATAATGTTTTTTTTTTCATAAACTTTTTAAGACCCTCCCATGCATTCTGTTGCTCTTATAATCAGATTGTGGTAGCTGCCACATGTACACGAGTAAGACAGGAATCATGTTCATCAAGAAATGTGACCACAGGCTGATCCTGCTACCTCGTGGATAAGGGAGCTAGTTCCCACATGGTAAACTGTGGTTTGAATCCCAGCCCCAGTAGCTTGAAAAACATATCAAGTGCATGTATGTGCATGCTCAAAGTTCTGGCAGGATGTAGAAAGGATTTCAGTGGGACTGCACCCAATTGGGGGTACTTTCTCCTCACCCCCTCTGGCAAGTGCACACACTCTCTGGCAATTAGAAAAACAAACAAGTGCCTTAGAGTACCTAAATCCAGACCTAACAATTAAAGGCTATTTGTTTCCGTAGAACTCATTACGTATTCAGGGTATTTCTTTCCCACCTCCCTGACTCATAAAGAATTTTTTTTCTTTTCTGATTCCATATACATTCTGCTTTAGTTTTTTTCTGGTATCTAAAATGCTATGGAATGCCTAGCAGTAATTAATAGCCTTTCACCCAAGTAGGTAAGATATAGAAGTGAATTTGTGTTTATGAGTATATCAATATCGTTTAAAAACTATATGCTGGGATAGAAAGGCAATGGTGAAGTGAAAATTGCTCATGCAGGCTCATAGCCTGGAAAATGATTTCTTTTAATAGTTCTCTTCATTTAGCAGTTCTTCATTTGAAAATGTTCCCTTTCAACTGCAGATTTTGTGGTTTGGTGCACTGAAGGGGAAATTTATTCCTTTGACACATTTATTCTTTTAATAGTTATTCATTTGAAAAAGTTTCACTGGGTTCTTATATCTTTTGCAGTTTCAGATTCTTTCTTGACAGATTTTTTTTTAATGTTTATTCATTTAAGTAGGCTCTTACTCCATGAAATTGTTGCTAAGATTTCTTTAAACTGGTGCTTCCTAGGGATTCTGATAACACAGTAATGTGAATATCAACCTGTGCCTCTTCCAGGGCTCTGCAAGCGGTAGGGACAGCAGAAGAGTCACTTCCTTAGCAAAGAGGGGAAAAGCATGCAATTTAAAGTTTGAAATTTACCTAGCAATTCCTAGATGTTCTTCTTTTTATTTATTTATTTTATTTTGACCAGAGAAGGACACAGTGGCAGGGGTGGGGGAGTGAGAAAACAAGCCACCAGGTCTAGGACTTTAGCCGCAGTCAACCATGTGGGAGGCCAGCACCCTCAACCACCACAGTACTATATTCTAAGAGCATAGTAATAGTATTAACCATGATTTAAACATTATTTCTACAGAGCATTTACAAGAAGACTGGTTTGGGATGTATACGTGGCCATGAAAAATATATAGCAAACTCTCTCACATAGATTTCAAAGCAGAATTTCTGTCACAGATACTTGGTTTTAATGTTTAACATGATCAGTTTAAACTTCAACTATTTGAATTGTTTATTTCAGAATTTTTCCAACCTAAGCAGGATTATGATATGTTCCTACTGTAAGAAAATTGCCTGTATTTTTCCTTCACTCTCGACCTGTTTCGTCTGCAGTCCCAAAGACAGCACCCACCAACGTGAGTGGAAGAAGCGGAAGGAGGCACGAATTAGTCATTGCCTGGGAGGTAAGAACAAGTCTTTACTCAGGTGACAGAACTGGTTAATCCCGTAGAAACTAAGGCTGCATATGTGGTATCTGTCCCTTACATGGAGATGAAGTATATTTGTCTGAATGAGGTGAAGAACCCTTTGAGCGAGCACTGCACAGGTGAGTATTGCCAAAATGAAACTTTCACATTCGATACCAGGCCCTAGATGACTTTCGTCCTAGTCTGGTTTGCTTTCCTATCATACAGGCTATCTCAAAGTAAAGTTTGAGTCATTAAAGCACATCCTTTCAGAATCAGCAGATGGCATAATGTTTAAATTGTTGGCCTCCCACATGGCCAAATGCAGTTCAAGTCCCAGACTGGGCGGCTTGAAACTGAAATCAGACGCATGTGTGTGTGTGTGCCCAAGATCCCCAGAAGATAATAGAGAAAGATTGTAGCATGGCTATCCCCCAGGGGACGATTTCTCACTTTCTGTCTGTCTGTCTTATCTCTCCAGTGAGCACACACACCCTATACCAAAAATCTCTCTCTCAAAAAAAGAGAAAAATCCTTTCACAAACTACTTCAGGGGATTGATTGGCTTTGTTCGATATTTAATTATTTGACAGTTAAGTAGTCTTCTTGACTTACTTGTAAGCTAAAACCAGTGGGGAAGAAAGAATTAACCACTGCTGAACATGCAGCAGAGTGCCTGGGTTCTCTCTATTAACCCATACAGCAATTTTTTTCTTTTTCTTTCTTTCTTTTTTATTTTTTTGAGAGAGATTTTTGCTGTAGGGCCTGTACTCACTGAAGAGACAGAGAGACAGAGAAAAAGTGAAATATCACCCCTCAGGGGGGATGCCCATCCCACAGTCCCTTTTCCATTCTCCTCTCAGGATTTTGGGCACACAGGCACATGCACCCGGCATGAGTTTCAAGTCGCCAGGTCCAGAACTCAGATCATGGTTGGCCATGTGGGAGCACAGCCATGTAACCATTACAACACCTGCTGGCCCCTCCGTATAGCAATCTTAATAGTACGGATGATTTCCTCACTTGACAAATTATGAAACTGAGGCATAGTCTAAGCACTTCTCTAATACATGGAATTGGAATGTTGATTACAAAAATGTATGTTCTTTCGTCAAAGGAAAAGCATAAGGATAGAGAGCCTATGCGGAGTATGCTTATTTTCCATGAAGCCATTTTTCTTTCTTGGTGTTAAAGAACCTTGTTATAAAACGTAACTATGTAGCTCACAGAACTATGCCTTAGAGTTTACAGAACAGAAGTATCTATTGGAGAAAATGGGACAATGGAAAGTGTACAGAAAAAATAAATAAATAAAACTTCCCAGCAGGAGAGTTTTGATAAGTACATCATCTGTCCTCGTCTTCTGTTCATTCTTCTTTTCTTTTTTTTTAAATAAGAAGTATTTAATTTTATTTATTCATTCACTTATTTTAATTTGACCAGAGAGAGATGCACACACATACACACACACACACACACAGAGAGAGAGAGAAAGCCACCAGTTCCAGAACTTAAAGCATGGTCAGCCATGTGGGAGTGTCCAGCGTTTTAATTACCATGCCACCCGCTGGTTCCCATTCTTCTTTTCGTTAATAAAACTTCCTATCAAAGGGGACCAGAGAGCGGCACAGTGGTGAAACATGATGCTGCGTGAGGCTGACCCGTAAAGGAAGGTACCAGCTTGGTGTCTGGGGAATTCCCCGAGTAAGATGGGGATGCCTAGGGCTGCCTAAGGCTGTGGGGTGGATCACAAAGGTCAAGAACCTGCTGGAGGTGCTCTCTGGCTCTTTCTCTCTGTCTTTCTCACTCACAAGATAAAATAGCAAATAAGGAAAAAAAAACACACTTCATGTCTTATTATTTCTGCAGAGGTATTAACATCTCCATATTTGACCTTTACTGAGATGAAATCTCTCTAAACAGAATTGTCTTTTATTCTAAGCTCTTATATAGTAGGTTTTAGCTATCTGCCTCAACTCAATACACAGTTCTTCAAATCAAAATTGAAAAGGAAAGAAAAAGTGAACAAAACTGTACTAGGTATCTACTATGTGTCGGGTACTATGTTAGACAGTAGCTGGTAACTGCCCCATTGACTAATCAATGCCCGTGATCCCTTCCTATGGTGTACAGATATTCATTTAATCAATGTAAATGTTAGCCATATGGCCCAAGAAGTTTCTTGAACAAATACGATAGTCCAGTTTCTTCACATGTTAGTAAAGCACAAAAGCCTTGAGAAAAACACAAGAAGGTGCTCGCGTTAATCTCTCCTGAATCTGCTCTGCAAAGGGCCCGGCAGCGCATGACCCACGACAACGTACTCCCAACCACCAGACCATACGACGGCTTTCCTTTTCCCCAGCATGTTAAATTCTTCGCGTGGAATTCAAGGACTCTCATTTCATATTCATGACTAATTGGAGCAAATTTGTTTCACTTCAAGGGTTCTCAATACTCTTGAGAGTTTTCTTACATACCAACTGACATAATTTATTTTTTTCACCTTTTTTTATCTTTTACCTTTAAAGCCTTTTAACATTTCCAAAAACTGCCTAAGTGGTTGCATTTTGTAGGCTTCCAATGTAAAATAAAGATTTGAGAGTCTCCTTTTCCCAGTTATTCATAATTCTAAACAAGAAAAAAAAAAGTATTTGGAGGATTTTGTTTTCATCAGTTATTTTACTCATAATTAATTGCATTTTTCTTCTTTAGCCAGTATCTGAAGAGTTTCAGAATGGGGAAGGCTTTGGCTATATTGTGGCTTTTAGACCCAATGGAACACGTGGTTGGAAGGAAAAAATGGTGACATCCTCTGAAGCTTCCAAATTCATTTATCGAGATGAAAGTGTCCCTCCTCTTACTCCCTTTGAAGTGAAGGTTGGCGTTTACAACAACAAAGGAGATGGGCCTTTTAGTCAAATTGTGGTCATCTGTTCAGCAGAAGGAGGTCAGTTTATCACTTATTTTTATTTGACTCTTGATATTGTAGTAATGAGACATTTATAGATATACTAGAAAATACCAAATATTCCATATTCTAGATGGACATTTAACTGATCCTCTTTGATTTGAAATTCAGATAATTTTATATGTGTAACAATATACATGTGAAATAAATTTCAATAAAGACTCCATTTATGAGGTACTTCAAAGGTTTGTACAAAATAGAATTAAAGCACAAAATTATTCTGGTGCCAAAACTTCTTGAAATCCATGGAAAGATGTTTCATAATACATAATTTCCATGAACTTTTTGAAGAGCCTTTGTACATGGCTAATAAACATTTACTCCCAACCCCATGCACAAAGCATTAGTGCATTGTACTAATAAAGATGGCTCGGTAGGGCCTTTTGTTAGAAATTTTTCACATGTACCATTAAATCTTCATGACAGTCTGGTGTAATAGGCATTTTTTCAATTGTGCAGAAAGAGAAATTGAACCTCAGAAAAGCTAAGGAAGCTGCTAAAGGTTACACCACCTATAACTGATAATTAAATCCAAATCTGTCTAGCCATTAAATCTTTGCGTTTTCTACAGCACACTGCCTTCATAGGCATAGCCACATTTAATTCTCAAGAGACAGCTACTGATACAATGTAGACAACACCTAGTAGGCAGTATATCCATTTTGCAGATGAGCAGAATGTAAAATTCTTATTTATTCATGGTTACAGTCAACAGGTAGTGGAACTGAAGTGGAAACTCAGTTTCCCATGTTAAAATTCCGGGGTTTTTTTTCAAGTTTTAATACAAAAACACGTTTTTTTAGAGAGAAAGTATAATAGCTCTAAATTCCTAAAGTTATTTTTTTCTTCTTAGCCCGTCTATTCAACTGCCAAATTTCAATCAGCCCTGCAAATAAAAACAAAAAAGGTCTTATATTCCCTAAACTTGTAAATAATAGAAAACGTTCCACCAAAGGCAGAGTTCATTTGACCTTCTAAATTAAGCTTAATTTATACTGACTGGCCATTCTACTTTCTCTCTTTCTGCATATGTGACTTGAATAGCTCAAGAGCGTTACTGTGAGTTTCATGGAGTAGGGGGGATAAGTAAGGTCATTTGAGTGTTGAAGAACAAATGTAGTATTGGTTGATGTAAGATACAGTTTTTCCATAAAAACTTCCTCGGGAACCAGCAGTTAGCATAATGGCTATGTTGCTGGACTCCCATGTAGTCGACTGCAGTTCGCGTCCCGGACCTGGTGGCTTAAAACTCACGCCGGGCGCGTGTGCGTGCGTGCCCAAGATCCCGAGAGGAGACTGGAGGAGAAGGGATTGCGGCGTGGCCATCCCCCCTAGGGGGTGATTTCTCGCTTTCTGACTCTCTGTTTCTCTCTGTCTGGCAAGCACATGCGCCCTATAGTGAAAATCTCCCCCCCCCAAAAAAAAAACACTTCCTTATATTTTTACCATATGGAGCCAAATTTTGACAAAGAAGCAGAAGGTTTATCCTAATATAAGAAAGGCCGGGAAAGTCAAGAATCAAATAAAGACAAGGAATCCTTGGTAGTCCAATGAGATACCACTTAGCACCTCTAGTTTCTAATGTTTTCAGATAAAGTTGGTATATCCTATTATGTTATCTAATTTAATGTTTAAAACCAAACATGAGGTAAGAATCACACGCTCCCATGTATTTTTCAGGAAACTAAGTCTCAGAGAGGTTAAGGAACATGCTCAAATCCACAGCAGGATGTGACAGTGTCGTCAGTAATAACAGTAACTGATGGAGTTGTGATATTCACTGGGTCTATAGGACGCCAAAGCATATGCTTTAACCAGTCCCCTCTACTACCTCATCACAGCAGTATATAAAATAATGATGTTTTCTATTTTTAGTACCCCACAGATCTGCTTTGAAGTACATGTGTTATTCAGGAAGTATGTATTCTGGCTGCTTTAAAATTACTTTAACTTAATTATCAAGCACATAGGTCCAAAGGTCACATGAGATGAATTGGAGACGTTTTTGAACATGCTTTGTTATGTTGCTGGACTCCCATGTAGTCGACTGCAGTTCGCGTCCCGGACCTGGTGGCTTAAAACTCACGCCGGGCGCGTGTGCGTGCGTGCCCAAGATCCCGAGAGGAGACTGGAGGAGAAGGGATTGCGGCGTGGCCATCCCCCCTAGGGGGTGATTTCTCGCTTTCTGACTCTCTGTTTCTCTCTGTCTGGCAAGCACATGCGCCCTATAGTGAAAATCTCCCCCCCCAAAAAAAAAAACACTTCCTTATATTTTTACCATATGGAGCCAAATTTTGACAAAGAAGCAGAAGGTTTATCCTAATATAAGAAAGGCCGGGAAAGTCAAGAATCAAATAAAGACAAGGAATCCTTGGTAGTCCAATGAGATACCACTTAGCACCTCTAGTTTCTAATGTTTTCAGATAAAGTTGGTATATCCTATTATGTTATCTAATTTAATGTTTAAAACCAAACATGAGGTAAGAATCACACGCTCCCATGTATTTTTCAGGAAACTAAGTCTCAGAGAGGTTAAGGAACATGCTCAAATCCACAGCAGGATGTGACAGTGTCGTCAGTAATAACAGTAACTGATGGAGTTGTGATATTCACTGGGTCTATAGGACGCCAAAGCATATGCTTTAACCAGTCCCCTCTACTACCTCATCACAGCAGTATATAAAATAATGATGTTTTCTATTTTTAGTACCCCACAGATCTGCTTTGAAGTACATGTGTTATTCAGGAAGTATGTATTCTGGCTGCTTTAAAATTACTTTAACTTAATTATCAAGCACATAGGTCCAAAGGTCACATGAGATGAATTGGAGACGTTTTTGAACATGCTTTGTATGGTAACACCAGTGCTGCCTTTAAGAAATCCAGCTTTATAAGTTCACTGTCAACCTTTGCTTTGAAATTAAATTATAGCAGCCACCATTTTTTTTAAATACTGTGTTTCCTTAAACTTGAAATGGCTTGCCTTTGGAGATTTCTCTTTCAAGCTAGATAGGAAATATGCATATTTCTTTTCAAAGACATTGAGGTTGTTGCTATAACATATTTCATAGTAACACTTCATTTTATTTTAGTAGACTGAAATATGAAATACACTAGGCAAATTAAATCGGAATAGAGTCTGCCTTTGTTCTGACAACAAAATTGAAGGTATATTTGGCATTTGCTCCCTAATTAAACCTACAAATTTATGTGTAAATATGAGTAAAGTGTCACCATGTCACTAAGTTATGCCAACAGAAACAAGGCAAGAGAAGGAAGAAAAACAGAATTTTCCCAGAGTCAGCGGAGGCTGAGTTCAAATCTGATCACACTACGTGATCTTGGGCAAGTATTTACTTCTTTGAGCCTTATCTTTCTCTACTTTAAAAATAAATGTCTTGACAGAAACATCTCTGAAAGCCCTTATGAATCTAACTTAAAATTCGTCAGTGTTTTCTATATTTTACAATATTCTTTCAAACAATTGTCCCAGAGTAGGCAGTAATAATAAACCAACTCTTGCTATGTAATTAAAGGAAAAACTAGCATCCTTTTTTATCTGCTGGTTAACTACTTTATTCAAAAAAGGAGTGAACATTTTGGGACCAGCAATCAGCGTAATGGCTATGTTGCTGGACTCTCATGTAGTCTACCACAATTCAAGTCCCAGACCCAGTGGTTTAAACTCACACCAGGTGCATGTGCAAGTGTGCCCAAGATCTTGAGAAGAGAATGGAGAAGAAGGGATTGCTGTGTGGCCATCCCCCTTGGGAGGGGGGTGATTATTCGCTTTCTGTCTGTCTCTCTCTGTCCTTCTGGCAAGCACACGTACCCTATAGCAAAAAAACTCTCCAAAAAAAAAAAAAGGGGGGAAACATTTTAAAAATTAAACCATCCTTTAAGAACCAAGGCCAGGGCCAATAGATGGCATAATAGTTAAAGCGCTGAATTCCCACATGGCTAATCGTGGCTTGAGTCCCTGACCTGGTAGCTTAAACCTCCCACCAGGCACATGTGTGTGCATGCTCAGAGAAGAATAGAGGAGAAGGGATTGCAAAGTAGCCATCCCCGTGGGGGGGTAATTTCTCACTTTTTCTCTCTCTGGCAAGCACACGCCCCCTAAATCTCACTTAAGAAAAAGAAAAAAAGAGAGAGAAAAAGTCAGGCCTGCAAAGAATTCATAAAATAAAAGATAGTACTCAGGCCAGGGTAGGTTCCTCTCCTGTTTGTGAGTGTTCAGGTAGATTCATAGAATGCCTTTCATCAATAGATTCTTGACCAAAGCCCAACTAATCTGATTGAAATTGTATTTCTCCACAAAACAAACTCTGCTTCTTTATTCTTCTACTAACCCAGTCTACTTGCTTATCACCTCAAAATGACTTCATATTCTTAGATACAGTAAAGAACAAGAAGAATAAGGCCGCCTTTCTAATTCTGTTTATGGGCTTAGCTCTTCCCCTTTTATCAACAATACCAGGGACATGCCTGCAGTACCAGGAAGAAGCCATATTTTCACAGCTGACACCAAGCCAGGAAAGAAAATGTGTCAAGCACAGCCACCAGATGTATGTTATTTGGAGGGAAACACAGTTCAGATAGACTTCCAAGGCACACCTTAGCAGCACTTCTCAACCTATGTCCCCCAGGACATGATGGAGAATGGCATCCAGTCAGCACACACCTCTGTAAGTGCTTACATGCATTTCCAATCTTTCTTCCCTTTCTTTTCCTCTTTTGAAAGTGTTTTGGTATGAGGATTACATTATTATAGGGAAAACCTTGAAACAACCTGTTATTAAAATATAAATATTTATATTCACTTATAAATATTGAGAATTTAATAAATCACTTGGGATATGATCTGTATTCTTTCATTTCTTTTTAAGAGAGTTTTGCTATAGGCACGTGCATTCATCAGAGAGACAGAAAGTGAAAAATCACCCTGGGGTATGGGGGGGATGACCATGCTGCAGTCC